TTTTGTGTGAAATAATTTTTAAACAATTGGTTCAATCCAACACTTTGTCCCGACCCGATGCATGCCCTAATTAGTCCATCTTATGTTTAATTCTTATTTATTTGTTTGATGAAAATATATTATTAAGATTATGAACAAAGTAATTATACAATGAGATGAATATGAAGAAAAAAAAAAGTACCAAGATTTAATTTACAAATGGGAGAAATGTGATAAACCAAAAAAAAAAAAAAAAAAAACTTAATTAAGTTTAAAGGGCTATTTTGGGTATTCAATGAGGTTTAAAGGTAGAGGTGATGTATATATATATATATATATGATTTACGAATATCAACTTTCATCAACCCACTCTTGTCAATTTAATTGTTTGTATTGTCATTAAATTGCACAGCAAACCAATGATTTATTATTTCAAACACGACAAATTTGACTTTTGAACTTGCTTACGTTTCTTTTTTTAATAATCTTTGATTTTTTTAAAATTAAGTTTTTGTTTGTAATGGAAAGAAAAGGAGTTCTACTTCTTACATAATATAATTGTTATTTTATTTTTTTTTATTTAGTATTTCTTAATTTTTTTTAAAAGAAAGGGTTATTTTTAAATGGAGGACACTATTTTAAAAAATTAAAGGAAAATAACAGAAGTTTCATTTGTATTAATAAAGACGCCTTTATCAATCAGATGGAACTTTTTAATAAAAAAATGTGTGATTAAAAATGTTTGTTTATCAATAAAAATGTGTTTGTTTACTAAAACATATTATATCCATACACAAAATTTAATAAATATTAAATTTGAGGGGTAATTTAGACTTTCACAGAAATATTTTATTCATACACAAAATTTAATAACGCTTGTTTATGTGAGGAATGATTTTGCTACTGAAAAATCAATGTGTCTTGAATTCTCATTAGGAGACGTGAGACTATTTTGCTATTAAAACAACAATGTATCTTGAATTGTCAAGAGAATCAATGTGTCTTCTCTATACCACTTATTATGAGTTAAATACTTATTAAGTATCCAAAAGACTAACCCATTAGGTGATATTATGTATACAAGAATATAAGTGCAAAACACAATCTATGTTTATCCGATGTGGGATAGTAACATTCTCCCCACCCAATCACGTGATGACCTTGTCATGTTCGAAATTATTACTGATTTGTTTAACACATTGCTTGGTTGGGTTTTTAAGGGCGTACTTTAGCAATCCAATTAACCCCCAACATTATCTCTAACCTCGATTTACTCTTATGATAAGTTTATGAGACCCATATTATCGAACCAAATCACTTCCTTTTATTAATTTGGGGAATGATATAAAGTAGGGGTGAGCATGGGTAAATGGTAGAACCAGAACTGGAACCAACCTCATTAGGGTCCAACTCTGGTTCTGAAAAATTGGAACTGGGAATTCTTGGGTTCGGTTCCGGTTCCTATAGTGCTAGAACTTAGAACTGAAACCGAGACCTAAATCGAAACCGGAACAGAGGTCCAGGTACCCGAATAGGAATCAGACTAAATTGTATTTTTTTGTAAACTATTGGAGTCTATTTGTAATTTTTTTTAAAGTATGGGGTAATTAAATTAACCAAGGTACCCAGAACCGGAACCAAAACCTATATTTCAGGTTCCGGTTTCAAGTTTCTAGGAACCAGAACTATTCGATTCTAGTTCCTATTCTAATTTTGGTTTCTTCAAAAAATATAGGATACTCAAAATTGATCACTCCTAATATAAAGTATGTAAACTTAAACTTACTCTAATACCACTTGTTACGTCTCCAATATTCGGTTACCACCTAAAAAACTAGTTTATTTTGTGATAGTAAAATATCAATTTCTTAATGCCTGTTACGAGCGTATCCTTAGCTTTTGAAATTTACAATAACATTTTAGTTAAAATAAAACAAATGATACATGGAATTAAAAAGGCCAGAAAACGCCCATAATTATTCTTAAAATATTCAAAACTAGAGATTCTAAATCTGAAGACGGCAAAATACGAGGTTTAATACTATTTTATCTTTGTCGTTGAAAAGTTTAATGGGCCATGCCTATAGACCATGATATAATTACAATGTCAGAGCATCATTTAGCAAGAACCAAATTGCTTGAGCCCACTCTTCAGGAAGTTGTCCAAGTACAAATAATTTTCGGATAACTATTATCTTGTCAAAATAGGTATATATATGTTTTAATTTCAAATTAATACTATTTGAATTTACTTAAATTTTCTAGAACATACATTACTCTTCAAGTTTTAGAAATGTTGAAATAAGCTTTTAAGTTTTTATATATTCGTTAAGTCATCCATATATTATATATTCCTAATTTCCGATCCACTTAGGCCCCTTGGTAAAATGAGACACACCATGGTGTATTTTAATAAAGATAATTACGAAATTGAATAAAATATAATTGAAAAAGGGATAATTTTAGAGATTTTACATATTTAGTTAATAAAGTTAATAAATTAGAGATAAATATTTTAAGTAACTATTTGCTCCAAAAGTTTTAAGCTATTAGGGAAGACTCAACATTATTATTTAAGTCTAACACGTCCCTCTTATGAAAAATGTAAATTCCATTTTAAGGTCTGATAAATTCAATAAGAAACCAACTATAGATTAGGACGAGAGATTGATATGTTTTAAGGTCTAATGACTCCCATGAGATACCAACCCAAGATTAAAGTACCAACTCGTTTCAAGAATTAATGGATCTAATGAGATATACTAACCTATTTTAAGGTCTAAAGACATATTAATTAATGAGATCAATCTAAGATTAAGGTGATTGATTGGTTGATAATGATTTTAAATTGCAATGGATTCAATGAAAGGCTAATCCAAGTTTAAGGTGATTGAAACTACCTCTAGGTGACTAGGTGAAGCGATAGGGACTCTTAGGCGTATTCTCAATAAATTTTGAATTTGATTCTCCTCAATTGTTAATAAGGATAGCTACTGAAGGGTTTACTCGGTCGTTAACTTCAAGACTCTCAGGGATTAGTTGAGGTAAAGCAAGCTGGCCCGGACACTGGTGATAAAAAAAAAAAAGGGGGGGTGATTGATATAATGATTGAGAATATTAAACAATAATTAAGCGATTAGATTATTCAAACATGAGAATTTTAACTCTCCCCAGAAAATTAAATTTAGGTAAGAGTTTAACCTTAATATTTTAAATCATGAGTAGAAATAATAAAGTGCTATCTACTTGTTTTATAACTTAATCTTCTTTATGATATTGTTTTTACATATGTTTTGTCCTATTTTGAATAGATGTGGGGTTGAAAAACAATTATTGGTAGTATAGAGCAAGGAAGCATTTAGCTAAATTTAGCACGTGGTTCATGCACCATTCACCAATTTGCTAGAATCGTCCAAACTTTGATGTCACGTTCTTCTTGGGCTCACCTTTTACTTCGCACTATTTCGCATTCATGTTTAGCTTCAATGTCACAATTAATAGCTTCATAAATTATCATTAATCCCATAATACTATCAAGCAGGTAACTACTATTAAATTAATCTAAACCCAAATTTAACAATCATGAAAAATAATTAATCTTTCAGGTTATCAAGGCATTTTTTTCTTTTTATGATCAGAGGTATATTGTCAACTTACACGTACTTTAACTAATTCTCTTAGATTATAGAACTATAAACCGAGTAAAAGCTTCAATGATCACCCCTATTAGTAGTCAAAATGAATCAAATTCATGACCTTTTGAGTAATACATTCTAGAATTCTAGTTAATTACTCGATCATCTAGTGGTGGTTTATCAAAGACATGTTTGTTTATGAATTTGGTGCACCTTTTTTGTTTATTATGGTTTAGGATTCGACCGTTATCAAGTAGGTAATTATTATTAAATTAATTTAAACCCAAATTTAACAATCTTAATCTTGGAGGTTATTAAGTTTCTAAAAGTTCAAAATTTTGGGCAAGTTATCAATAGGCCAGAGCTTGAAACTCAATCCTTGAAGGTGGAGGCTGGAAGAGAAGCCTTCTTTCTGTAAGAGTTGTACAAAGTTCACATAATATACTAAAAGACAAGTGTGATTATGAAGATAAGTCAATTGATGTATGCTCAAGAGAATGAAGAGAATACGGCTGAGAATTGCTAACCAAAATTTTTTTTATTTATACAAATTGAGTGGTCCTCTTTTCAATACCCAATTCATATCCACCAAGACAGTGACTCTCACTCTTGTTAACAAATTAATTAGGTGAACTTATCCAACAATTTAGCTTAACTTATTTGAGTTGTTCTTATTATACTATTAATCTTTTTTTTTTTTTTTTAATACTTTTTTACAATGAAAACCAAAAATTATAACAAAGAGTAAACGACTTTTTCCCACCCAAGGTTTGCCTGAATGACACTTTTCCACCCAAAAAGTTTTAAAATACCACTTTTCTACTCAAAGCTTATATTTCGACCAATCGCCGGCCGATTCTGACATCTTTGCGATCTTAAACCACCACCATTCTCTTTTCCAATCATCACTCATCAAAACCCCTCAAACCTTGTTCCCACATACCTTGCCAATTGTCGACAACCGAGCGATTTGCAAAACACACAACCGCTCCTCCCAAGTCAGATTCTAACCAATCCTGACCATCAAAATCCAACCTATCACCACCAAAAGACTCACTGGCATCCTCTCTTCAAAAGCCCTAACAGCCTAGATAGAGTTTGTTCTCCGTTAGCCGCCAAATCAGAAAATCTATTTAGGGTAGTAAACGAAATATAAACATTGGGTGTGAAAATGGTATTTTGAAACTTTTTGGGTGAAAAAGTGTCATTTAGGCAAACCTTGGGTGGGAAAAGTCGTCTACTCTCATAACAAACATGATATCAAAAGTATTTTTCAGGATTCCAATTACTCCTAGTAATTAATTAATAACATAAGTTCCTCTTTTACAAATAGGAACAATTGTGATAATTAATAAGTTTCTTGATAACCTTTTAATATGTGGGCCAACAAATTGCTTCTAATCTTTGAAATAGTTTGCCTTATAATAAGATGTGATAATCTAAACAAAGAAACCAACTAGCTTGGTTTACGTGTTGATTTTTATGATAGTAAAATCACTATAAAATATGTATAATGACAAAAATACAAAATTAATCAGTGAAGATTTAGAATACCAAGAGCTCTAGCCACCCTCAGAGAAAGAAAACAAGAATAAATGGCCAAAAGTCCACACCCTAGAGACCTATCCAGCCTCATACTTTTTCTGGGCAAAATTACCAGTGCCCAGAGCAAACCTCCAATCAAAAACGCTAAAGTCTCATAGAGAGAAGGATCTTTAGGAATTTGATAAGCCGCTGGATATTCTGAAGCTGATGAAAAAACAAGTGACATCCCAAGACCCACTAGTGTGTTGAACATTGGCCCCGCATAGCAGCCTGTTATCGCAATTTGTGCCCCGTCTGCCCCACCATTCATCGCCATTGCAACATTTGATATCAAATCCCCAAGTGAATTTCCCCAAGCTAAAACAGTAAGTCCAAGAACTGAAGGGCTTATTCCGAGAATATTCCCAATTGAAACTAGTAAAGACACCAATTCCTCCGCAGTAATATATGTCCATGTTACACTCATCAGAAACCCACCAGCCAGCCAAGGAAGCAAGCAGTTTTTTGGAGGACTTGAGTTTTTTGTAGTGACATAGGCAAGATTCCCGAGAATTACTGCAATCACTCCTGCAGCCATGAAAGTCACCAGGCTGATCCTGGAGCCCGTGTGTTTTTCCCTTTGGGTGTTGTAGATTGCTGCCAAGAGAAGTGGCGCCAGTGTTACTGAAATTACTGCATATGTTTTTGACCATTTCTCCTCACTAACAACTGGAATTGTGAGTCTTCTTGGCAAGTATAGAGGTAACTCCAAAACATTTAAAAGCTTGAGAAAGTAATAAGAAAAGGATAAATCGTGCTCATGATGATGTTGATTTTGCAGGCTGCTGTTTTTGATCTCTATTAAAATTGGTTTTTCGTCATCTACATAACCGAGTAATGGTATGCCTCTTTCTGCAAATTCATCCTCGCTGTTTACAAAGAAAGTACTCCTTGGAACATCAAACAGGTGGTTCATGTTTCTCTCTTTTCTTTTCTGATAGAAATATGAACCAGAAACAGCTGAAATATAGACGAAGTAAATAGAAACAAAAAGAATTGCGCCCAACAAGCTGATTTTTCCGATAAGAAGTATCAAGACAAGAGCCAGAAGAGCTGATAAAAAGAAGAGAGCATCTCTGATGAAGCTATGCTTATCAACTGAAATCTCCTGAGGACTCGTGAAAATACTTATAACTCCAACGACAACACTGGAGATGAAAAAGGCACCACCCAAAATACTATTCAAGCCAACATCTCCATCGTTAGATCTCGTGAAGGAAACAATGCTAGCGAAAACATCAGAAGCTCCATTTCCGAGAGAAAGGAGAGTGATTCCCGCTATAGTTGGAGGGAGTTTCAGGATTCTGGATAAACTCTCTAAAGATGAACAGAAGTAATTGGCAGCTGTGTCGCCCATTAAATAGAACAAAACAAGAAGCCATAGAAGAAGAAGAAAGTGACCAAGAATGGGAAATTGGCCACAAGTGCAGTAAAAGATTCTGAGATAGTTTATATAACCTTTTGGCTCGCAACCCACTTGAGACTTGACGTACGTACACTGAGATTTGTAATCACTGTAGTCATGGAGGCCGGCGCAACCGTCGGCGACAAGTTCTCGCCGGGGGAGTAAAGAATTGAGTTGAATGGATTGGTGGGGAAAGACTGAAGATTTGAGAAAGAGAGAGAGGAGGAAGAGGAAGGAGATGTTGAGGAAAAGTAAGAGCTTTTTGGAATGAAAGTTGGAGCTGAGGATTGCCATTGAAAAAAGATTGAAGGGGGAGAGGTTAATGGAGATAATTTTTAGAAGAGAATTCCATAGTGCTGAACGAGTAAGACTTTGCCGGGGAGTAATGAGTTGTCTTCTTGGATAAGTATATAAGTAAAAAATGTATATTATCAGAAGAAGAAACTTTTGAAAGGATGAATCAATAAGACAATAAGAGTAAATGAACCGTTTATATTTTACTGTATTATTGGCCTACAATAATGTTACAAAATTTTCAGTGCGGTGAAGTGACGTTGACATGGGTAGACCTCCTAATCTGAGGAAAAAAATACATTGCAATATTGATTAACAAGTTTTAAGCAGCATACATGCTCATAAGAGTGGTAAGGACGACCTAAAATTAAATACGAGTCACACACACTTTCTTTAGCGTATATATAACATTTCTTAGTAAATACAACAAGTATAAACAGTTTCGCTATGATACATGAGTTCATTTTCTTTAAGAACAAGATTCTCTTTTACGCCGAGCTTTTTCAAGGACTTGTAATGTAATTACTAGTTTCATAATAGACTAAAAAATATAAATTATAAATAAATGAAAGAATTAAGATTTGAGTTTCCTAGGCTCTACAATGATGGATGGCAGCTAAAGAGATAGTAGACGGGGGAATAATGTGTGTATTTACTGTTGATTGAATACTGGATTTTGGATTGTCTTTTCAAGAGAACAAACCTCTGTTTATATAGGAAGTCATTGTTGTTCCATCCTCATAGAATTCGGAGTACTAGTTTCATGGAACTAGAAGTACTCAAAAGGGAAGAATTCGTGTAAGGCTTGAAACCCCAGGATATCGGACTCATAGTCCTTGGGGTGGTAGAATCTATATGGGACTTGGAATTCATTAAGTGTTAAAATTCAGATAAGACTCGGAGTCTTTTGAATGTTAGACTCTCAGAGATTCAGAATATATGGAGAGTTAGGATTAGTGTGGAATGCGAAGTCCTTAGTAATGAGCGTGACCTCTATTGAGAAGTTCAACTCATAATTGGGCCCAAGTTGTAGAGAGACTCGACTCGTAGAGCGGCCCTGATCGTAAAGTGACCTGACTCGTAGAGTTGCTCAATTCGTGGAGTAGACAAGCTCGTAGAGTGGACCAACTCACTGGATGAATCTTCTACAGGATGGGCTCTGATATAGGACCAACATGAGTTAGGTCGTGGCACTGGACCGTGGAACTGTAATTTTGGACCAATCGGAGTTAGGTCGAGGCACTGGTCATCCATTAATGGTCCGCAAAGTGGAGTCAAGTGTTATTGAGTTGGTAGGAGTCCAATATGATTTTTTGCCCGTACAAGCAACAGTGGCGAGAAATCGGCGACGATGTAGCAAAACGGAGAAAAATCTTGCTCTTTCTATCTCTTTCTTTAGGACTATTTGGAGAATATTATTTCTTTAATTAATAATTTTCCAAAACCAAATTAAAAATTAATCTGTTACAGTCGGTATCTTGTTAGCTTGATGAAATTACTTGAAAATAAAAATAAAAATTATTCCTGCGATAAAATCAATTACATATACAAGCTTGTAAACTCAAATAAACAAGCTTTTTACTGTTTATAGTGAACCATATTCTTCTTAAAAGAAAACTTGTTTTTACTAGTCCAACATTTTTTTTTTGGGACAGTGCGGAGTTAAACGACTTTTCTTAAAATATCCAGTTATCCATGTTTACATCTTGACAATTACAGCATCATTATATATCCTAAAAGATTTCTGAACATGTGTACAGTAATTACCATATCTTAAATATTATATATGAAATAATATGTAATATTATTTCAAAGAAATAAATCAAATAAGATTCACGATGGTAAATGAAAATAATTAAATCGAGCAAAATGTTGGTCTCAATTTAATTTAAGTCCCTATGTTATTTAATTCCATTTCTTGGAAATCTAGTTGTTTCCATCTATAGAAATATAGACAGATGAAAGATCTGCATTAAATTTAAAATCTGCATCACTCCATATAAAACATAATGAAGAAAATTTCATTTTCGTAAGAAACTTAATTAGGTCTCCTTTAAACGCATCCTATACCAGTTTGATATTTAGCCATTTATTCAAGCTTTCATTGGGATTTAACATGTTATAACGACCATGCAAAGCTTGTGTATTGTCCGCATATTAATATCACTCTTCACTGTTTAGTCTACAGGACCTGGAGGGTACAGGCGTACAGCGTTGACACAGATATCCTGATATGAACTTGCAAACGCTCAGCTTTGAAGATAACGATTCAATGGGGCCGAAAAACGATCACGTGTATATTACATATCTAATATAATCTCAATTATTAAATAAATAAATTAAAAACGTTTTGAAATGAATGCAAAAATCTGAGCTGGAGTGAAAAAGCGAAAAAAGTTGATCAAATCAAAACAATATCAACTTGGAAAGTCTTATCTGGGTCATTTTCAGGCTAGCTGTCACAAGATATTTTACTAATTGGCCACATTGTCGGGAGGAGAACTGTTCATTGTTCATTAAATTCACAAACAATTAATACCTGGAGCCACATGTGTAGGGATAAATGGATAATGTTGGATAGGTAGGAAGCTAACGTGGTTAATGAGAGACATCATGTCAAAGCTTGCCATGGGAGTACGGAGAAAAAGATTCTGATTAATTTTGTCATGTTCGTGTTGTTAGAAAGAAATATAAATTTTATACAAGGGCTCAAAATTATAGGTATACTTCTTCTCATGTTGGATATGGCCCTCATTAATTTGCAGATGGGATAAGTCTGTCCAACTGTCCAACTCTAATATCTTATAAAAAGAGGAATTCCCTTTGACTCTAATTAAGATCATAAAGTAGCTGATACTTTAGTTTCATTTGCTTTGTCTTCTTTAGATCTTGTGTTAGATGATTCTATGTCAGTGAAAGCTAATTTTGGATGCTTTAGCACTATTCAAAATTCAAGGCTGTTGAAGCCAATAAACTCAATATAGAGATGAGGTGAGTTTAGACGTCAAAATTTTAGTAATTTCATTATAAACGTTTATGTCATTTTAACAACGATATCAATTTAGTGAAGTCGTGAATCTTAGAAAAAGGATACTAACATATCTGTTAGGAATCATGCATATAAACATCTAGAATTACTGCGAAATAGAAATTGTTCAGCAATTTCAATCCGTAAAGACAACTCTTGCTTTAATATGACCATTTATAAGATTTCTTGGCCTTCCTCTGTCTCCAATTATAAGGGATGGACAGTGGAGAATTTCTCTTCAGGAAAAGATAACATGCAGGACCCACAAAATGTTCAAAGAGATAGATAAAGCCTCTCATGACATGATTAATCAGGCTAAACGAGTCTAAAATTATAATACCAGATGGAGCTATCGATACGTATCTCAAGTTGGTTTGGTTGTTTGGAATTTCTTTATTGATTAAAACTGTACAGTAACAACCTTATTTTTCGGTTTGCTAAAAAGTAAACAAGCTAGTCCAAGCTTTGATTTATGTGGATTTGACTATCAAAAAAAGTGTTCACTTTAAGACGTTCAACTTCGATGAGATCAATCCACAATTGCATCGGGAAATTATTGCGGTTTCAACCAAGAATTAATTAATTTTCTTTATTCCAACATATGATCTCGATCATTTCCAATTGTCAAACCCTTGTTATTTATACATGTGCATGCTTTTGAAATTTTATGCAAGAAGGTCACAACGTAAGGCTTTAGAAGGAAATTTTAAAGTATTCTTGCTGTTGAATCTAGGACGTAATTCATGTGTCAAATCTATAAATGTATGCTATTGCTATATATGAACATGTATAATGTGTTTTATAGATTATCAATTTTAATGAAATGTATAATTGATTATTTTCAAAATGATAATCTACTGTTGCAGATCTCATTTGGGTTCTGGTATTTTTTAATATAAATTTGATATGTCTTTTTGAAGCAGTTCTTAATTCTACTGTTGCTAGGTAAATGAATATATCTTGATTTGTTTGAAGTTGTTTTCGATCGTAATTTGGACGGTGCACGGGAAAGGAAGAAAATGAAATAACACAATGCATGTGCAAGGTTAATATTATGTTTGGACCACGTGGAAAATATTGACTACAAAACAAGGAACAGGAGTAAGATACCGGCACAAAGTTTCTTTGGTCATTTGTCTTCTCTTGCTGCAACAAGTGAGAGGAAGAATGGCCCATAACATGAACCCTAATTAATTGGGAAATGACCCTTTATGTACTGTCACTATGTTGTCCTTTCAAAATTAATTTTGTACTGGAAGTTTATAATATAAGTGGATTTTGGGATTATACATTCTATACGATGAATATAGAGTTTTAAATCAAAGCTATATCACTTAATTATGGAAAATGAAATTTCAACCTTAATTATTTCGTAACAAAAAAGTTGTCTTAAATTGTCAGATATCGTGTAGTGATATGTTAATGCTATCAAACTTTAATAATACATACATGAAAACAGATTTTATGATTTAACAATTTTTAATATATAATTTTAAATCAATGTTATGTCACTTAATATATAAAATTGAGATACAAATATAGAATGTACAAATTATTATTAGAGTTATAGACCACTTCAACAATAAGGGGTGACATAGACGCATTAATTCGATAAGAGTTAGGAATATGAATCCTTTTAATATTAGGTTTTAATCTTTTAAATCTAATATATAATTTTTTTTTTTTTTTTTGTATGACTCTAGTAGCAAATCATATGATAAATTACATTCATTGTAAATGAGAGAGGTGAGACAGTATTGAAATAACATTGATTCTGCTAAATGTAGCTTATTAATTAGGTGAATTAGGATAAATCGCGCGTATTTTTTTTTTCTCTTTACTATTTGTGGTTAGTGTGTGTGTACTATTTTTCGTTTCATATTATTTTAGATTGTTTCAATTACAATGATGCTATATATCAAATTTTATTAATACATAGGAAGACAAAGAAATAAGAGAGAGCTAAAAATAAGTTGAATAAAAAATTATAATTACATTCTAACTCCATAAGGTTTGCCTAATCAAAGTTTCGCTACGATCCCAAATAATAACAAGTGCCCGTGAATTCATGATGTTAGCAGTTACA